CTCAAAGAGAAACCCAATAAAACACAGAATCAGTGTCCATGAGTTTGATTTAGTAAGGAGTTAGCTTGTGTTGGCAAAGCATATAGCTATAAAAGCCTTCCTTATGTAGTATTTGCTTATACAGTCTGCTCACATGGGAGATATAAAGGATGCTGATTTGATAGGATCATATTCTAGCTCTTTGATTCTGTCAAACTTGATTAAAGCCCCCCCCCAAACCCCACAAAAAAGGGGTTGGGGTGGAGGTAGGGAAAAAAGAGCTACTTCCAAACTTAATTTTGAAGTTATTTCCTTATGATCTTCTAAGGTGTTATCTCTTGATAAATTCAGACAACCTTTATTTCTATATGAATCACTGTGTTTGAAGTATCTCTGACAGGCTCTGTGCATGTGCTTCCCCCATCTTCCTATCTTGTTTTGTAATTTTTAGCTTTGCTAACTCAGGAATACTTCTGCAATCCGCCATCCCTGATTAATGCTCCCGGCAAGTGGCATAAATTTACATCCGGTTTGATGGTACACCTCTTTCTCTGTTTTAATTATTTGAGATGTTTCTGTGGCTTTTTTTTTCGTTAACCATATCTAATGTGTGATTATATGATTTTATGGGCTTGAAGATCGTGCTAAATACTTTTGAGGCTCAGCCTTTAAGTGATGAAGAGGGCAATGCTCATAACCTTGAGGATGACGCTGCAACCTTTAACATAAAATATCTTACTAGCAGTAAACTTATGGGTCTCGAGGTATGGGAGCATTTCTCAATTTAGAAAGCTCTTCTAAAGCAAAATGGAGCAGCAAATTCAATGGCATATTATTTCTGATCGTTCTTTTTGTCTCAGCTGAAAGATCCTAGTTTCAGGCGCCACGTTCTGGTTCAAAGTCTCATTCTGTTTGACTATTTGAAGGTAATGATATGCATTTTGTTAGCTCTGAGCTCGATGTGCGAGTGGATCTTTTAGTAATAGTGTGACCTTAAATACTAATGAATGAACTACAACTAAAGTTGGAAGGTTATTTTGTCTCTCCTATGTGAATGTGGGATAAGCTTTCCTAGTTGAATTCACATATTCAAAACATCAAAATTCAGGATTATCTTTGATTTCAATCATGATGACGATAATCCACATGATTGTTTGTTAATCATTAAGTTGAAGATTCTCTAGTATAAAATGTCAGTATGATACTTAAATGTCTTAGGTTTGGTGTTCATCAGAGAGGAGAGCAAATGAAAACATGCCAAATCTGGTTTGCACTGGAGCTTTGCCGAGGGAAGATGTGGGAGTAAAGTTAATTGAGGGGGAGGAAGGAGAAGGAAAAACATGGTAGAAAACTGAGAGAAAGAGAGATAGCAGTGGGTTAGGTGCTCTGTAACTAAACTAGAATGAGTTTGTCCCAGTTTTTTATTTTCTGTTGATCTCGTTTCTTATCATTATGATTTCGGACTCATTTGGCCATAACTTCACTTGCAAATAATGACTTCATTATTTGGAAGTTGAAGTTTGGTCATCAGTATTGTGCATTAATTCAACTTCAACTTGAAATAGGGAACATGAAGTGAAAAGCTTCTTGAGGAATGTCAAGTGAAATGATGGTTTCACTCACAAAACTTCCAACTTTTTTTCCAATTGAAATATATCCAACCACCGCTTCAACTTGCAAATACTTTTTTTCCCAACTATAGTTTCAAATGCTCTCTTTTTCAGTTTCACCCAGATAATGTCTGAACTCCTACTTGTTCGTAATCATGCAGGCACCGGGAAAAAGTGAGAAGGAATTGCCCTCTGAAGCAATGGTTGGTCTTGCCTTTGTTTATTTCATTTCATGCTGTATCAATGTAATGTATTAGTGGTCCCTTGATTCCCACCACCTCTTTCTCTATAATGTATGTATGTGTGTGTATATATATATATATATGTGTGTGTGTGTGTGTGTGTGTGTGTGTGTGTGTGTGTATATATATGTAAGATTATATGTATATGTAGCGCACACACCCTCATGCATATAAAATTCTTCCACGAGGGTGATCAATCCTTGCTTAGGTGTGAAAGTAAAACTGTTGATCGGGAGGAATACTATTTATATGTTCCTTCCAGAGTCACGGGCGTGGTTTCTGTTCGTCGAAACTTGCCTGTGCGGCAGCCAAGTCCCGCACTTGACTTCAGCCTTCTCACAACACTCGGCCAAAATTACATGAACTTTGGACTTTGAATAATTTCGGGCAGCTTCAACGTAGTAAGCCTTTTTGAACTGATAGGCAACGAATTAAAAGTAAGGCAACGGTAAATTAACAAGAACACAAGGCACAATTTACAGGAATCTCTTCCCAACTTTGTATTTAACTCGAGCATACAAAGAAACTCAAACTCAAAGTACAACCGCGTACAAAAAGAAGATCACTCTTGACCCTCAGGTTTTCTCTCTAAGACTACTCTTAGCCTTAGGTGTTTTCACTCTTGAAAACACACTTAGGAACTCTTTCCTAAGTTAAACATGCACTCTTACACATTTTTCCCACTCTTGGGTCTCTCTTAAGACTACTCTTAGTCTTAGATATCAAAGACTACTCTCAGTCTCTGATCTTTGGAAGGATCACATCTGAACTCCCCCTCTCTCTCTCAAGACTACTCTTAGTCTTGATATTTGGAAGGATCACATCTGAACTCCCTCTCTCAAGACTACTCTTAGTCTTCATGCCCTTAAACACGAAATGCCCCCATATATATAGATATAGGGGCTGCCACTGGCAGATTTGAAGGGGCAACTTACAAAGGGGCAATTCCATTCTAGTGCTTTTCTCAGTCAAAGCACTAAATAAGCACTTAACTATTTAATGGGGCACTCACTCACGAAGTGGCCCTCTTAAGCACTTAGCTCTGTTTTGTGGAGCACTCAGCCCTCTTGGTGGAGCACTTAGCCCTTTGGTGGAGCACTGGTCCCACCACCCACTGAAACAAGCCTTGCATACAACATTGCTAAATCTGTCCTAATTTGTAGTTGACATCCTCCAACTACTTAGGCCTTTTCCCACACGAAATGATATTAGATACAAACACTACACAGACATGGATACAAGTCATTACAAAAAGGTAAACGCCCACTACTTTGGCATATGCATTGCATGTGCTCTTTTCATTTGGTCAACTGTTGCACGCCCAAGGCTGGCATTGTGCCCAGCCTTGGCGCCTTTTGACATTGCTCCGCACCAATGCCTTGTCCGCAACCTGCTGCCCATGATTTTGCCACACGCCCGACACTCTTGTCGCACGCACATTACCTTAGCCGCGTTTCTGCCTTGTCTTTGTCAACACTTGTCTCACCCGTGCCATTGCTTGTCTTTTGCCTCACATAGCCTTGCCTTAGCTATTGAGACCCCTCGCCATCATTTCGCGCTGTCTTGATTTAGCTTAGCCTGTACTTGGCGCTACCACAATTCGAATCGCCCATACCTTTGTCTTTGGCGCGCATGCTGTACCATGCCGCACCAATTTGCCCACACTGCCTCGTCAAGCCTGTCTTGCCATCGCTTGCCTATTTCTCTTTTGCCTTGGTACTAGCTCGCGCACCTTAGCTTGGCAACACTCTTGCTGCCCTTGACAATGCTCTCATTGCCAAGTAAATCCCAAAGAGGCAGAGGTCTAACAAACCACCCGCACCCTTTGAAACTCGACGTCCTCGTCGATTTACTCAATTTATGAGTCCTAAGGGGTTGACAATCAACGCCCCTCGGTCTCATCTCTTTGCTCTTGGAAGTTCCAGCCTCCTGCTTTCCCTTCCCCTTGTTCTCATTAGCATTGCTTTTTAATTTCGTTAGCCTCTCCCGCAGTTCGACATAACCATCGGAACAAGACCCTGAAATCTGCCCCTGCTCGTCGTGACTCTGTCACGAACCTGCACTGCTCTGCTCTACTCTCAGTTCAGAGTAGCTCTGGTTTAGCTCTGATACCAGTTTATCAGAGCACTCCCTGTTCACAAGGCACAATTTACAGGAATCTCCTCCCAAATTTGTATTTAACTCGAGCATACAAAGAAACTCAAACTCAAAGTACAACCGCGTACAAAAAGAAGATCACTCTTGACCCTTAGGTTTTCTCTCTAAGACTACTCTTAGCCTTAGGTGTTTTCACTCTTGAAAACACACGTAGGAACTCTTTCCTAAGTTAAACATGCACTCTTACACGTTTTCCCACTCTTGGGTTTCTCTTAAGACTACTCTTAGTCTTAGATCTCAAAAACTACTCTCAGTCTCTGATATTTGGATGGATCACATCTGAACTCCCTCTCTCTCTCTCAAGACTACTCTTAGTCTTGATATTTGGATGGATCACATCTGAACTCCCTCTCTCAAGACTACTCTTAGTCTTCATGCCCTTAAACACGAAATGACCCCATATATATAGATATAGGGATGTCACTGGCAGATTTGAAGGGGCAACTTACAAAGGGGCAATTCCATTCTAGTGTTTTTCTCAGTCAAAGCACTAAATAAGCACTTAACCATTTAATGGGGCACTCACTCACGAAATGACCCTCTTCAGCACTTAGCTCTGTTTTGTGGAGCATTCGGCCCTCTTGGTGGAGCACTTAGCCCTTTGGTGGAGCATTGGTCCCACCACCCACTGAAACAAGCCTTGCATACAACATTGCTAAGTCTGTCTTAACTTGTAGTTGACATCCTCCAACTACTTGGGCCTTTTTCCACACGAAATGATATTAGATACAAACACTACACAGACATGGGTACAAGTCATTACAAAAAAGTAAACGCCCACTACTTTGGTATATGCACTGCATGTGCCCTTTTCACTTGGTCAGTTGTTGCACGCCCAAGTCTGGCATTGCGCGCAGCCTTGGCGCCTTTTGACATTGCTCCGCACCAATGCCTTGTCCGTAACCTGCTGCCCATGATTTTGCCACACACGCCCGACACTCTTGTCGCACGCACATTGCCTTAGCCGCGTTTCTGCCTTGTCTTTGTCAACACTTGTCTTACCCGTGCCATTGCCCTCCGCCTCATTGGGATTTACTTGGCAATGAGAGCGTTGTCAAGGGCAGCAAGAGTGTTGCAGCCTTCTTCCTTATTTTCTCAGCTAGTCTTTCGTTGTAGTAATTGGGGGAGGCTCTCCGACTCTTGTAAAGCTGCAAGCTTATTACCTCGTATATCCAACGGAATTTTTGATGTTCTTACTCACCTATGATGATCCTTAGTTACTTACTTCCGCAGTGCTCGTAGGGTTGCTTTTGAACAAAATTTTTGATTGTCTCCCTAGTGGCACTCTCTTTTATTTCTGTAACACTTATACGGTACCTTTAACTACCACAACTCCTATCTGAATATTTTTCAAGGATTACAATGTCATATCTGCGAGACTGAATTCCCTATGTTAGGGTTAACTATGTTAATCTTGCACGATCTGTTGATTTGTCTGTATCCTCTTGTCTAGCCATAACAAGACTCTTCCTCTCACACACCATCTGGCTCAGGTTTACATTCGCGAGATTGTCAGGCTTCATGGCGTACCGGTATCTATCATATCTGACTGGGGTACGCAGTTTACATCACGGTTCTGGAGAGCCGTACAACGAGAGTTGGGTACTCGTGTGGAGTTGAGTACAACATTTCACCCTCAGACGGACGGACAGTCCGAGCGCACTATCCAGATATTGGAGGATATGCTTAGTGCGTGTGTGATGGATTTTGGGGTGCTTAGGATCAGTTCTTGCCACTCGTGAAGTTTGCTTACAACAACAGCTACCAGTCGAGCATTCAGATGGCTCCATATGAGACCTTATATGGGAGGCGGTGCCGGTCTTCAGTGACTCTCCTCCTTTATATTTTAGTTTTGTTTATAATGTTCTACCTTCCTAGGCATTGTTTCAGTTGTCAAACCGTGTTATTGTATAGATGATCATGTACTCAAGGACACCCGAATTTTGGGAAATTTTGTATTGAGTTGCGGTGTTTTCTTATAAGTAATTATCAGATTTTCTCTTGAACTTATCTTATTATGTTTTCCAAAGTTAAAAATGTGTGGTTTTATTCTGAAAGTCGGCTTGCCTAGTATTGTGATAGGCGCCATCACGACATGTGAGATTTGGGTCGTGACATCAAACCATGTGCCTCGAGGTAAGAGCTGCTTAGACACCAAAACAAACAAACGGATGAAATTTTCTGCCCCAGTTTACATTAGGAATATTTCGTGAGTTATTGTAACAAAATTCTAAACTACTTCTTTATTGAAAACAATAAAATGTCGGGAATGGAGTACCCTGGGTAGATCATGATTCTTTGGGCAAAAGAGAAATGAGCAAGCGATGGCCAAGGTCTTGGGACAGGCAAGACAGGCTTGGCAAAGGCTTGACGAGGCAGTGTGGGCAAATTGGTGCGGCATGGTACGACTTGCGCGCCAAAGACAAAAGTATGGGCGATTCGGATTGTGGTAGCACCAAGTACATGCTAAGCTAAATCAAGACAACGCGGAATGATGGAGAGGGGTCTCAATAGCTAAAGGCAAGGCTATGTGAGGCAAAAGACAAGCAATGGCACGAGTGAGACAAGTATTGACAAAGACAAGGCAGAAATGCGGCTAAGGTAATGTGCGTGCGACAAGAGTGTCGGGCGTGTGTAGCAAAATCATGGGCAGCAGGTTGCGGACAAGGCATTGGTGCGGAGCAATGTCAAAAGGCGCCAAGGCTGGGCGCAATGCCAGCCTTGGGCGTGCAACAACTGACCAAGTGAAAAGGGCACATGCAGTGCATATGCCAAAGTAGATGGCATTTACCTTTTTGTAATGACTTGTACCCATGCCTGTGTAGTGCTTGTATCTAATATCATTTTGTGTGGGAAAGCCTAAGTAGTTGGGGGA